ATCCTTTGCACACACAAACACACACATACATACATACACACATACATACATTCGTTGTTTTATTTGCTTGATGTTTTGTCCTCTGTTCCTTACTTTTTTCTTCGTAATTGTACAAATAGGTAGGATTAATTCGTAAGTTGAGCTAATTGAACGTAGGTAGGTGAGTTAATTTAGTGAACATGGGTAAGTTAGGGACACTATTCTTTCTTTCTTACGTTCTAGTTTATTTGTATTGTATTTTTTTGTATTGTTTTTTGTTCAACACAACTCCAACAAAGCAATCAAACGCAATCAACACAATATTTTTTTCGTTACATTTTAGTTAAGTTTAGTTAAGTTGTTTATTATTACTAGACCATTCGTTACTTATAATTACTAGATTTATTCGTTTATTCTATTCGTTACTATTATTTCTAGATTTGTTTGTTTCTTAGATTTTGCACACACACATACATACATACATGTTTGCCTTATGTTTTATCCTCTTTTCCTCACTTTTTCTTCGTTATTGTACATATAGGTAGGATTATTCCGTAAATTGAGCTAATTGAACATAGGTAGGTGAGTTAATTTAGTGAACATAGGTAAGTTAGGGACTCTATTCTTTCTTTCTTACGTTCTAGTTTATTTGTATTGTATTTTGTATTGTTTTTTGTTCAACACAACATCAACACCAACACCAGCAATCAAACACAACAATCAGCGCAATATTATTATCATTATATTTTAGTTAAGTTGTATGTTATTACTAGACATTCGTTACATATTATTTCTAGACTGTCGTTTTATTATTAACCCCCTCATGAACGGCTGCCTTGACGTGGCGAGGGGGCTTCTCACTAAATGCCGTTTAAGTCAAGTTAGTGCTTCTTCTTTACTTGTTTTCTTAAAAATGCGATTTTCTGTCTTTTTTCTTGGTTGCATTTTTAAGCGCACTCTCAAATATGGGTTACATTAGCATTGGCGTGTATGTTATATGTATAATGTACCCAAACATACAAACAACGGTACAACTTTCACACACAAACATACAAATACGTACATACTATTTCTCATCAACTAGGAAAATAAAGGGAATAATTTAGGAGGAACCTGAGTGAATTCCAATTCTGAGTTTTATTGTGTGACCGGGTTTATGTTTTATTTGGAAGTTGGATATGGTCTTGAAGAAGTGCAAGGACATTGAGGTGATCTCTCCGGCGTGTCTGTCGCAGTTTCTGATTGGTAGACGGCTGGCCACCACGCATCACCGATGATTTCCACTTTCGGTTGAATGAATGAATTAATCAACCAATGATTTAATGAATGAATAGAATAAATATGATTCAATTAATGGAGGAATGCTTTGAGAGATAGTAATTAAGTGAATGAATAAGTGAGAAAAATAAAAAAAACTAAACCGTCGTTGTTGTTTTCTTTGAATTTTCATCGGAACGATCATCATGAAACGACAATCTGAAATGTGCTGACGCCCATTGCACCGACCAATGATGTCATCCGAACTTCAGTGTGTCAGTCGAACAGCCAACGAGTTGATTCTTCCTACACCATCATGAGACCGCCATTTGAAACGTGCTGACTCACACCACTGCCCTCATCATTCTGTAGACAATTTTTTTATTTGCGTAATAGTAAATGAATGTTAGAATCTTAGAAGCAAAAAATTATACAACGAAAATGTCAAATAAATAAATACCGTAAAACGAACCCCAACCAGGCGTGCATTCTTTGCCACCGAATGAACGAACGTAGCGTGACATCACAACCATTCTGATATTTTGCTTTTATTTAAAATGTTAAAATTTTAATTTTTTTTAAATTGTTATTCAATGTGGTAATTAAATACCTTCAAATCGACATTGCCGAAAATATTTAAAAGTTGAAAAAATTGAGATTCTTTGTATATTCCTGCTTCAACCATCCCATAAGAAAGTGTTGTATATTGGGCGGTGTATTGATAGTACAGAAGAGCGAATAAACTTAAGTAAACTGGTCGTAGAGATTAGTAAAATCTAAAATGAATAAATTAGAAACAACTAAGGAAATTATACAATCGCTACCGACGGCCCCACCATCGTTATGCTTCAATAAGGAAGAATTTATGAAGGTGTTTTTTTTCAACTTCTTAAAAAATTTTAAATTTGTTAATAATTTTAATTTGTTTTAAAAATTCATTTACTAATTTACTTTAATAATTTAGTTATAATTAAATTAAGAAAAGTTTCAACTTCAGAAAGAGTTTTACTTCTTGCATCATTTATCCTTATCAGCCAAAACAAAATAATAAATATATTATAAATTATAGTAATAGTGTGGAGGAGCATTGCATTGTAGATAGCATAGATAGATGATAGAGTATTCACTAATTGTGGTAAATAGTTTAATTTGTAAATGTAGTCAGTTTCTTTGACAGTGTAATGAAGTTTTATTACTTATTTATAATTATAATAGTTTTAAGTCACTTTATTAGTTTATTATTTTTTATTAAATGAGGATTTTTTTTTTATTTTATTGCGTAAATTCAAATTTTAAACTATTTGATTTAATTTTTAAATTGAGAATCTATCCTAACTCTTGGCAAACTATAGGATATTGGTTAGATTAGATTGAGTATAAGGATTCTAAGTGCATTTAAGTTTCATTTGCATTCAATTTTGAAACTGCAAATAATATGCAATTAGAGGTATTCACTGATCAATTTTTATAACTATAAAATCTTTAGGTTGTATTTTACTTATACAATTTTTTTATTAACAATAAAATTTAAATACTTAATAGAGTTTAAATTTTTTCATCATGATTTTTATAACTTATTTTGGACATGATCTTTTAACAATGCAGATTACATTTAATGTAGAACATTTTGTTGTTGACTGCCGACGTCACACAACTTTAGATATTTTGAGAAATGATCTTCATATGTATTTGAAAATTTTGGAAAGTGCCATGGTTGAACTTATCAATAAAGATTATGCAGATTTTCTCAACCTATCCACAAATCTTGTTAGAAGATTTTTTCTGTTATTATTTTGGCTAATTTTTGCTTCTCATGCCATAAGATTAACATTTATAATATTCATTTAAAGTGTTTCATTAATCAAGTTCATTGTTGGGTTTTATTATAAACTAATAATTTAGGTCGGCATGGATAAAATGATAAACAGTTTAATACAACCAATGAACAAGATGAAGTCTGATATCACTGTATATTTTTCCTTGTTTTAATTGTTATACTTTTACTCAGATTAACTTTTTTAATTTTTAATATTTATTTGTTTCATCTTATGATCAAATTAACTTTTGACCTCATATAATTAGTGGTGTATTACAATTTTTAAACCGAGGGAATCAAAGTGGTTGTCAGTCACAAAATAAATGAAATCAATGAAAAAATGAAGATGAAAACAAAAATTGTTGAAAAAAAAGTAACTAAATTTTTTCATTTTGAGTTTCAGTTGCACATTTTTGACAGAGCTTAAACTTCAAGTAACCCTTCTGCATACATGCATGGACCATCTTGGAATTGGTAGTTTTACTAAGTAACTTTTTTTAAATTTAAGGAAAACTTAATAAAAATGATGAATATGATCCAGTCCCTTGAGAAGTTGGGAATGTTACTAGGGTTGTCGAGCAGTAAATCTGAAGGAAATATGAGGAGCACCATTAATAAAATCATTAGCAACAAACATAACACCAAACAGTTAGTATATCATATTTATCTCCTTGTTATTAGCAAATACTTTTGAATGTTTTAATATAACAAATTTATATTTAATGGTTTCTACAAACACACCAGCAACCAACTCATGGCTAGAGTGGCCATTGATTTCAACCAGCTGAAGTTTTTCGTAGAAAGCAACAAACAATTACCTTTAACAAAAGAAATTGAACCAGTTAGTAAAGTTTTTTCAAATAAAGTTAGCATTTTATATTCTCAATTTTGTTGTTGAATCATTAAAACATTTATTTTCCTTTTTGAAATGATGGCCTGACCATTACTTTTAACTTGAACACACACCTGACAGTACATAAAGGCAATCTCCGATGTTCTACTGATCAGTCTGGAGGCCCCTTTGAAAGAATGCTTCCTACATATTAATCGAAATAAGAATAGTGATTTCATTAGCAACAACAACAATGGTGATGATGATGACAATGATGATGACTTGGTCAGCTGTTTGCGAACATATGCAAGCATTGATAAAATGAATTTGGCCGAAGATCTTTTCAGAAGTGTTGTTGTCAAGGAGTACATGCAAACAGTCAGTAATGATAATGATGTTGATTATGGTGATGATGAAGAGATTGATCTAATGCTGATTATGTGGTGTAATGAAATTCATTGAGATTGAAATAATTTTTTTTGAAATAATTTTTATTAAAAGAAAGGTAAGGTGGTAATTTATTTTAATTAACCACATTTTTAATAGTTCTTTTTAATAAAAATTATTGCTAAAGATTGGTTTTCATTTGGGGATAGGTGATTAATGAGGAAATAATAAAGGAGAAAGGATTAAAATCCATGTATGATAAAGTTCTGGAGTTTGTACCCAAGTACTGCTCCCCGTTGACATCCATCACTTCTAAGTCTGTTTCATTTGGTTGTTCATTGATCTTTTAATCTTTTATGAACCATCCCTCTTGGACTCATCATTTAATTGAACACTGACTTAGTTGTTAACTTAACAAAATTGGACCATTCAATAGATCAACCAATCATTGATTCAGTTCCCTGGAAGCAATCCTGGGTTATGATTTCATAGTGAATGCAGTGTGGCCAGAAATTGTTCATCACCTCGAGTTTAATACCCCTTCCATATTTGCTCCTGGCAACCCTGACACGTTCCATAAAGTTTTCAATATTCAATAAATTTTGCCATATATTAATTGAAATTTTTTATTAAATCATCTATTTGTTTTTATATTTAAATATTAATTATTTCAACTGCTTAATTCACAAACTGAATGGATTATGATGTCACGATATTTTTTTTTACAATTTCAACCTTGTACTCAGACTGATTTTATATCATTTATTATCAGTAGCCTGACGCTTTTTAATGGAATTAATTTTTTAGTGTGAATTCAATTTCATGGCATTCGGTTTAGGTAATTTTAAAAATATTTTATTGAAATAGCTCATGAAACGATTGCAGCATGTGCAGTGCATTTATTAATCTAACCCAGCAGACGTCAATAATTCTAACAGGCATACACAACCAGTGTTGAATTCATGGATAGATTTGAACTGCAGCTCAGCTCACAAGCCAGTGTTAAGAGATTGAGAGCCCACCCATCTTACATCTCGTTCATTTCAAAGTGGCCCACTTCTGTTTACTTTCAAATCAGGTTTCATTCAAGTTAGATCAGTTCATTTCAGTTAGGTCGGTTAATTTGTTTTGTTTTAAAGTTTCGTTTTCCATCTTAAATCAAACATAAATCCTAAAAATGATTTAAATTTAAAAAATTTGAAGATTTCAAGAAATTGGTGGCCTGTTAGAGTTGTCCTTAGTTAATCCATTCAATCTTGTTAAAGATATGAAAGAAGGGGGAGGTAGGTTTATATTTAATAGCTTGGATCGGTTGATTGTTAGATAGATATTTGGTTGATTCATTGTTTTACAGATTAGTTGATTCTTTTTATTTGCTGATTTTGAATATTGAAAAACTTGTCAGAAAAAATGAATTCATCCACACAGACACACACCTGGATAGGAAGTTCAGCCTAGCTGCAACCTTAAACTTGTGCAGGTGCGTGTCCAGGTGCTGGCACCCTTCGGTGCATGTGCACTCATTGGGGCACAGGTTCTGGAAGTTATCGATGCAATGTGTTGCAAGGTATGAAAGGTTTATCTCTCAACTAACAACTCATGTAAGAAGATTTTTTTTATTATTTTTGTTCGATCATGTTTTTTGTATAGTGTTATATACGGTTATATTGATTTATATATAGCTATGTAGAGTTATTGATTATATAGTGTTATATACGGTTATATTTATATAGTTATGTACGGTTATATTTATATAGTTATGTAGAGTTATAGATTTTATATTGTTATATAGTGTTATATACGGTTGTTAATATGTATATATATATATATATATGTATATATATATATATATAATATGTGTATGTGTATATATAGTTATATAGAGTTGTATAGGATTATATATTATTTACAATATTCTATAAATTCTACCGAATGTTTGGCGTTAATATGTTTGTAGTTCGTTTTTTCGATTTTCTCACTAAAGTTTTTTGGTGAACGTTTAGTTTATTAAAATTCAAAATAAACTTATTTTTCGAATTCATGCTGCAAATAAGGCCATATTTCGATTCCGAATGAATCATCGTCAGTGCTCCTTGCTGTATATATAGGGAAATATTGACTTTGTCAAGATTAACTTTGACGTTGTAAAAATTAACTTTGGTGTTGTAAAATTGAACTTTGATGCGAATTAGGTTTCAGGTTTCTTAATTGGCTGGTCATCTTCTTTGGTCTCCTTTTCTTCATCGATAGCATCATATTCTTCTTTGTCACTATTTACGATGCTAGTTTTTATTACTTCTTTGTTTTCGTTGTTGGTTAAGCGCCGGGTTGGAAGTGAGGTTGTCATTTTTTGTTGTATATTTATTTTTGGTTTATTGATGTCGATTAGGACTGCTTCTGCAATTTTAAGATGCGTGTAGTTGCTGTTCTGGTATATTA